GCCCCGATAGGCTCCGAAATTGGGAAGCGAGCCCTGTCATACCCTCAGTTCCGCTGCGGAGTCGCAAGCTGACGTTTGCAGCGTTAATCAAAAATAAAATTAATTTCTGCTTCTCCGCTGACATGCCACGCACCTGTTCGTTCCCTCCGAATCGTAGGGAGGTTTGTACTGCTTAGCTTGGGGGGTATTTCTCAAACTTTTTCTGATTGATATGTTTTCTAGCTATGGATGGGTCATGCTTTAACCAAATGTAATCTTACAGATTTAAGCTATTCTAAAATAGTAGACAAAGTTGTGTGTTCTAATAGGAGAAGAAGAAAGACTCAGCAATTATTTTAGTTATTTACCAAGAGATCTGGAGTGTGTTTAGGTAGCTTTTTCTCTGAAACCATGTAGTAGGTTTTTCTTTTTTTTTAATAAGACCATGAACTTGGAACGGTTACAGACTATGTAATGCACTTCTTTGCAACTGTGTGGAAAGTTAAGCTCTTTTTTTATTTTCTAGGAAATGCTGGAAGCACTCAAGGCGCTCTCAACCTTTTTTGTCGAAAACAGTTTGCGCACCCGAAGAAACTTGCGTGGAGACATTGAACGACGAAGCTTAGCCATAAATGAAGAATTTGTCCACATATTCAAGCAAGTTAAAGAGGTAGCATTTTTACAGTGTGACTAGCTATCTTGCAAGAGTACTGCTATGTAATTTAACGTTTTAAAAAAGGAAAAAGGATGAAGAGAGATTTTGACTTTCTACGACAAATATACTTTTACAGTAAAATTGTTTCATCGTTTGTTTCATTTGATGAAAATCCTGCACAGAGAGAGGTGATGTTTCAAACATAAAAATCCCAAGTGAATGTTGATCTTTAGGGATGCATTCTCTCCATTGACTAACAGGGAGCCTAGAGCAACTATGTTCCTTGTAACTTGGGCATCTCATTTTGGTGGGATGAAGCTGGGCTTAGGCATGACATTTCTGATTTAAAACACAGTTACTGTTATTTGAACTTATTTAGGAGCTTGAGAGTATAAACGAAGATGTGCAGGCGATGAGCAGCTGCTGTGAAGATATGTCCAGTCGTTTGAAGGTAATATTTAAATAGATATGCTTCATGTATTTTTCCTTTTGAGGTGTGACTGCTTCTTGTAAAAGGATAAATAATTATTTTGGAAGATTAACAGCAACACAGAGATGTTTCCATAGTGTGTGTATTATGTTACTTTAGGATATTAATATGTTTCTTCTTACTTATTTAGAAAATGTGTTGAGGAAGTCATTTTAGTTTCTTCCAAATTGCAATTCAGAATGCAGCAATATACTTACTTTGAGAATAGCAATGTGATATCCATTTGTATGTGAGCAGAGAGAAAATATTTTATTAGATAGGCAGTGTGTGAGATTAAAGGGTTGATTACATTTGTGTATTTCCATTTAAAATTTGTGTGCTTTTCCCATTGATTACGTCCGAGTTATGTGTTCATATAAATACCTCAAGTATATTAATGAGAAAGTATCTTGTAATCCAAAGGGGGAGGCAGATCTGGTGTACCATCTTCATTCTATTGGCTTTGTTTCATAACATTGTCTCGCAATGCTGATACGCAACAAAAGCAATTCTGTTTCATATTAATCCTGAATCCGTAATATTCTAGAGGCATGTCCTAGTTTTGGCTGGGATAGAGTTAATTTTCTTCCTAGTAGCTGGCATGGTGTGATGTTTTGGATTTAGGATGAAAATAATGCTGGTAACACACTGATGCTTTAGTTGTTGCTAAGTAATGCTTACACTAGTCAAGGACTTTTGAGCTTCTCATGCCCTGCCAGTGAGAAGCTGGGAGGGGCACAGCCAGGACAGCTGACCCAAACTGGCCAAAGGGGTATTCCATGCCATATGACGTCATGCCCAGTATAGAAGCTGCAGGGGGTTGGCCGGGGGGCAGCAGTTGCTGCTTGGGGACTGGCTGGGCATCAGTCAGCAGGTGGTGAGCAATTGCATTGTGCATTGCTTGCTTTCTATATTGTTATTACTATTATATTGTTATTATTACTACTACTATTTTACTTTATTTCAATTATTAAACTGTTCTTATCTCAACCCGTAAGTTTTCTCACTTTTACTCTTCCCGATTCTCTCCCCCATCCCATAGGGGCAGGGGGAGTGAGTGAGCAGCTGTGTGGTGCTTGGTTGCTGGCTAGGGTTAAACCACGATAGTGGGGGGAAAAAAAATTGTTTCATAATGCATTACTAAATCTGGCTTGGTTTTAGTGTACAAGTTCAATATTCAGAACAGTGATGAGTTTAAAAGGTTTATGGGTGCTGAAGTGTAGATGTTTTGCCAAACCAAATCTGTTCTGAATATATAGCGGATAAGTTATAGTATGTGAATGAGAATCCTTCACTAAAAAATCCTGTGGAAACAGTTGCGTTTTCCCCTCCTAATATGTGTGTGGGGATATTAGGTGTCCCCCTACTTAGATGAGTAGGTTTCATACTCATTGTATGTCATTCCTATAAGAATGCTTGCAGTTTGATGAACTTGTTCCAAAAGTGTCAGGGTACAGTGTAGCTCACTGCAGTACTTAATTTTCAATTTTGGAAGGCAATGAGTAATGCACCTCAGAGGTCTTGGATCTCTTTGAACACTGTTAATGTGGATGTATTCCCTACTGCAGTTCAGGAACAGTTTGATTAAACTCTTAGATGTGGAAATGAGTCAAGTGTCCATGCAGATTTTTGCTCTTTTCTGTCTTTAGATCATGAAGTGTAACTATCATCTATGATTTTTTTTTTTCCCCCCGCTCCCCAGAGTAGAGCCACCCTGCAGTGATTTCTTTTTCTGTTAAAGTCAGTAGGTAGTTTTGTTCTGTGCCCCACAGGAGGTTTTCTCTAGAGCCCTGTAGAGCTCGTAACTTCACTCAATTCAAGCCCTGTTTTCTTTGTCTGTATGAATGTAAAGTGAGTTAATAAGCTCATGAACTAGCACACAGTTGCCAAATACTGTGGTATTTTATCTGTAATAGGACATGAAGACTTGCTCAAGCTGAATAAGAAGACAAAAATGAAATAAGTAGAGCAAGTAGAAGATATAAAGAGGAGGATCTATAGCATATAAGGCAGAAAAGTGTGCTAAGAGAGAAGAACAAATACAAGATATGAAAGGGGCTATACATTGATAAGCCAAAAAGCTTTTTACCTTTTTTATTTCCTAAGTTTATAATACCATCCAATCCAAATAACCAGATACTGTCATATCTGATTTCAGGGTAGTGACTTGATAAAAGCAGCATCTGAAAGGGAGAGGAGGAGGCGGCAAGTGCTGGAATCGAACAAAACACACATGAAATTAATTGTTACTCTACCCTTAATTGGTTTAGTGGTGCACTTCGTACTGTTAGGTTAACGGTTGGACTGGATGGTCCTAAAGGTCTCTTCCAACCCAAACAATTCTATGATTCTATGAAAATGGAGTTGAAGGATAATGAAAGTTTTAATTAGTATATTGAGGTGGGGAGGAAGAGGAAAATATTTCTATTTTGGATCTGCAAGAAACATCAAATACCAATTTTCTGATTTTTCTGGCATGTCTGACTCTTTTCTGCCAGTTACCTTGTTTTGCTTAGATGTAAGCTCTTAACATTACATACATACAGTAATAACAGTATCTGGCATGTATTTGAATGCATGTAAATAAAAACTGGCTTCCTGATGTATCTAGCTAGATCCAGAAAAACTGCTTTTCCTTCCTTTCTGCTGTCCTACTGTTAGTATTTTTCTTGGCAATTAGTATCTCTGTCCAGAAAGTACTGGAAAGGAAGCAAATTTCTTCTTCTGTCTTTCTGCTTTATTAAAATCTGCAACTCTGAAGGAAGTGGGGTGCGGGAGAAAGTCTGGAATTAGTAGATTTCCATACTGAATAGTTCAGGTCCAGTCTTTTGTTGTAATAGTCTTTTTTTTTTTTTGTTAGGCTGAAGGATAGAAAATCATTATTATTTAAAAAAAAAAAGTTGAAAATACAAATACATTAAAAAATCTAAATATTATTATTTATACAAGATATAAAAAGCTTAAATTATTTTGGAACTACTAAATGTTCAGTAAATTCTGTTAAGCTTTTATTTAATTCTTGTGCTAGTGCATAATAGTTTCCTTTAGAAAATTCAGTAGCTGGTACCTCAGCGGTGCCCGCTGTCTATATCCATGGAACAGCTCAGGCTCTCTCTGATGACTGAAGTTGTACTTGAGTGGTTGCAGTCCTTTCACCTTTCAAAGAGTTCCTGTACCTTGACTGCTTTTCCATTGTAACTAATGTAGTGTGGCAGATAGAAAGGCTGAAAGGAATCCATGTGCGTATATACTTGCAGTAGACCTCTCACAGGTTTCAAGACTGATATCTTCATTTTGGCGAACACCGTAATTTAGACCTATTACAGTCTTGAAATTATTTATGCAGAATATCTTTAGAGCTCTTTCCCCTTCTTCACTTACAATATTATTCCATACTGAATGCATTTTGATTTTGGGGTTGTTTGTTTGTTTGGTTTTTTTTTTTGTAAAATCTTATTTTTCTGCCTAAAAGATCACTGGTGGTGTCCAGTGGGAAACCAGCAGTTCTGGATGTCTTTTGTCCCCTTGCTGAGGGATAAGTTTCTGAACTCTTTAAGTTCAGTTGCAGCAATCCCCTTAGTCGTGCAGCTGTTGGCTGTAGCAGAACTGTTTCTGCATGGATTCCCTTACATTGCCATCACTGAATGTTTAGGGCTGTGGTGGACTTCTTAAATGCATTGCACTTGGTCCTTACAGCCCTGTAAGCTACTTGGACTGTAGAGCTAAACTTGCTAAGACCAGCCCAGACAGCTGTATTCATGTTGTCTAAAATGGCTGGATGGACACTGGTACTGGGCAGTTCAGCATCCAGAGGAACTTGTTTCATTTTTCATTTTGTAGCAGCAAACAATTTACAGTTGATGGACAAACAAAATAATCGGAACTATTTCTAATATTTATAGAATGTTTTTGTATTACATATAAATAAAAAATAAACCATTTGTGAATATAAATGTATATAAAGATGAAAATATATATGGATAAGGATATTTATTTATTATTTATTAATTTATTATTTATCCCTGGAAGCATTCAAAAAATGGGTAGTCGTGGCACTTCGAGGCTTGGTTTAGTCTAGTCTACCCTTAATTGGTTTAGTGTGGACTTGGTAATGTTGGTTAATGGTTGGACTGGATGATCTTAAAGGTCTTTTCCAACATAAACGATTCTATGATTCTATGATTTTTTCATGCCTGAGAATAGGGAGAGTTAATAAATACTTATTTCAGAAAGTCCCTTTGTCTCACAGAGTAGACGCTTTAAACTGCTGATAGTCAGAAAGCTTCAAAAGTATTATATATTTGAAAGGTTGTGCAATACATTTGATATGTTTGTGTTTGTTTCACATACTTAATTATTCTAATTGTATTCTAGGCAGCAAAGGAACAAACCCAGGACTTGATAGTAAAAACCACCAAACTCCAAGCAGAAAAGTATGTATACCACTTTATTTATTTCTTGAAGACATGATAGTACTGATGCAATTTTCTTTTAGCTGGTTCTGCCACTCTTTTGTGTAATGACTTTGGGGTTTTTGTTGTTTTAATTTGTATTTTGTTCTTAAAACTGTCTGTGTTTGTAGCTCAATTGGAATAAAAATACAAACTCTTAGTTTATTACTAGAGGATACAAAAAGGTAAGAACATGTGTTAGTACTTGTCATAAAAATTGACCTTTTAGGGAAGAGAATCAGTTACAGTAGTAAAGCATGCTGTATATAGATGTGGTTTATCTAGTGTCAGTTGTTTTGTAACAGATACGGACCTACTCAGTGTCTCATTAGTTTCACAGGGTTCTTGTTAATGCTTCATATCCATTGGAAATCACGCTTGTTCAGGGACCGTATCTAGGAACAGAAAGTTGGATTATAGCCTACTCTGCCATATTTAAAGCTAACTGTGAAACACATTAAGTGCTGTTTAGTGAGCCTTATGTAGACCGTTTTTTCCCTTGGTTCTCCAACCTCTTGTGGAAGAAAGGATTTGTATTTTGCTTTTTTATTGATGGGAAGGGGATAATAGCCTACAACAGATTCAAGTGGTCTTTATCGTTTTTATGGCTAGGGCCTCTGGTTTTTACAGCTTTAGCCTTTGTCAGTGTAGAAGAATGAATCTCCTTGCTTTATGAGCTTTCTTCTGAAAATTATATACAGTTCACTGGAGATTAGAAATAATTATTTCCAGTGATAAGTTTCTAGTAGAAATTATGACTTTGGATAGCTCCAGGTGCACTTCCAAAATCAGTAGGTTCATGTTGTGGACTTTGGTAGGAAGTGGATTATGTCCTGTGAGAGTCTGAATGTGAGGTTAGAGTGTAATCTGTACATATTTTAAAAGTTGAATTCAGAATAACTGCATAAAATACAGTACTGGTTCATATAAAATGAAGGATTTGGCAAAGTCACGGTTTAAGTAAGTGAGCAGAAGTCAGGTCTTAGAAAATTTGTTATTTTAAATAAGAGTATGTGAAGTAGTAGGACCAAGAATTGGTCATCTGTTTTCCGTATTCTCAGGAAAAGGGAAGCTGCTTTGATTCCTTGTTCTGAAGCAGAATGGAAGATACCAAGACCAATCCCAAGTGATTTATGTCTAATTGGCCTTGAATTCCATTAAAGGAGATTATGCAGACGGTACATCAGTATTTCTACAATATAGTCCTTACTGTCACAATAGTTTTGCTTAAAAGACTTTCTGCTAATTCCTTTAAGACACAGAACATCCCCCTAGTGTGAGGGAGAAAAAAGGTTTGGGAAATAGCCTATCCTTCTAAGGGTCTGACCTTAGAGTGCACATGTAGGAAAAAGTTCCCTTTCGAAAGGCTGTTTTGTAAGTTTACCATGAAGTACCCACTAGCAGAAGCCAAACAGTACTTGTGATCTTACAATATGATGGTTATGGAAGATTCATAGTGCCATTTATTAACAAAGTTAACTTTTTTCCTGGCTAAACTTAAGAAAAATTTAAGCAAACGCTGCAATGGGAAGGCTGGTTTGTTCTGCATGGGACATTTGAGTCATCTTTTATTTGACTTATTAAATGACTGTCCTGATGCATCTCTTTGGTTTACAACAGGCACATGAAGAGGCATTGGCTACCTAATGTTAGGGGTTTCTTGAAAAGCTGAAATCTTGCCTGCAGTCAGAAAAAAGACAGGTCTTAAATTGCTGATTCCTTCAACTTAACAGGTGACATTTCTTAGCCAACGAAGGAGTAAATGGTGAAACTGGGAGGTGTGTCTTCTCTGTCTTCTGAGGGTTGTCCTAAAAATGCTGTCTGGTTAAAATGCAGAGATGAAAGCTGGACCCATTCAAAAAGAAGGCGGTTGAAACAGTGACTCTAAAGCAAGAACAGTCAGTCTAGAACAAAGTAGTAATTGCTGACCGTACTGGTTTTTAGAGTTCTTCCTATAAAAAGATGTCTCTCTTCTTACTATGAAAGTTACAGGAGTCTCCAGATTTCAGCAATCTCAAATTTCCGTTTCTACTCTCTGTAGTCCCACCAGCTGTTTATTTTATGATAGGCATTTCAAAAGAAAACATGCCTAGAAGTTTCTTGAAGTTTAGGATAATGGGAATTTGTATTCAAATAGCATCAGTACAGTAGAATTTTTGGTGTATTTTTTTAGTTTAACATGAACATATATTTTAAAAAACAAATTCCATTTTATGTACCACAGAATTTGAGTTAAGTTCTTAAATCAGTGTTGAGGAATGGTATGTTTTTAAACATTATCCTGAAAAACAGAAATCAATTATGTTCTTCCTTTTCAGATTAGTTATGTTCTTCTTTTTCACAGTGATAGTTACTGAACATTTTGTAATAGCAGAGGTAATACATTCAGCCCTTTTCCTGAACCAGTTGTTTACACTGTCCTTACGGAAGTTATTTTGACTCTGCCCTTCTCAGTGAGCACTACATTAAGTCCTCATCTATTTTCATGTTTTGTAGCCATTTTTAAAAAATAACTTCAGAAATTATTTTGATTTGCAGTAAATGATTTGTCATACTAGCTGTTGGTCAATAAAAAGGTCTTCTATTATGCTTAGCTTTTATCTGATTTACTTCAGCTGACCATGTTCTCATAGGAGGAAAATGTTATGATTTGATTCAGTGTTCTAAAACTGAAGGGAGACAGTAAACTTCCAGATGCATTTCATGTGTTTATGGTAATTAGGGATTTACCTTTTAAAAAATATTTAATTTTTGTATTTGAGTGAAATTTTAGGCAACATGGGCCTCTGTCTTCACTCATAATATGATGAAGATAGAAAGTTACTTAGGCAAATAACTGAGTATTTCACAGCTTCCCTTCATTTTCTAAGAATACATGTTAGCTCTGGCTTTGATCTAAGATGTCTAGTTGTCTTTCTGTAATAGTCTTAAGACTGTTTTCAGTAAATGACAGGTGGAATCTCTGGGCTGGTCAGTTATTGTGGAAAATAATTTTTTTCAAAAGCTGTTATAGTTAGTATGAAGTTTAAAGCGAACTGCAATTGAACAAAGTGATCACTTCAGAAGCAGAGAAAGAAGTCAGTAGCCAAAGTCTTTTTAATTGGAGATGTAACTTTATTCCCCTAGCTATACAAAGCAAATAAAGGAAAGATTGAAATAGTAAGTGAACTATTTTCTTAGATTGCAACATTTTTTGACCTTGCAAATGTAAATATCTCTTCAGAAATTTTTTCCCTATGTGGCATTTGAACCTGTGTAGTGGTTTTTTTAATCAAGAACTGCATGATAGCAGTAGTGGATAAAGTTTCCCGAAGATGTAGGGTGGCCACGGGAACTTGAGTGTGAGGATGAACATTTTAAGTAAGAATGCTTGTTCATGCTTTCATCCTTGCGTGTATGCTTTCTCTTCTGCGGTACTTGCGAGGGGATGGCTGTCTCAGTGGTTCTGTGCAGGTACTAGGTTTATTATAGTAATTAGTTTTTGCTTTCCATTATCACCTATATAATTAAGTGTAGTTCAAGATGATTTTCAGTTTTCTAAGTTTCTTAACTGAACTCCTTGTTGGTCATGCTAGTCTCTCAAATTTGTGGTTTGAAGGTATAGTGGTCCATTTGCAGTATCCTACAGGTAATCTTGATAAGCTATTTGGGACTTCCTGTGTTGGTAAAATGTGTAATTTAAGACATTTGGTTAAATAAAAAATAAGACGTTCATCTCTGAAGTTAAAACTGCTGCATTCTCAGGTGGTTGCTTCGCAGCATTGTTTTTCTTGTAATTTTGTGAGCTTTAGACCCAGTTTGGCATAAATGCTAAATAGAATGTGTTACTTCATGTAACAAATTTATAAAGTAATCTTCCATTAATACAATTGCATTTTTATAGTTCTAAATATGTCAGAATTGGTGCATTTCTTTGGTCAATTAGGTTGCTTGTTCTAAATCTGTTTTCTCTGTAAAGACTAGTTAAAAACTGTACTGTACATTAGAAGCAGAACAGTTTTCTTTCACATTATTTAAGTTATGGAATCTGCTTAACATAGGAACTAGGGTTTTCTTTTTTCCTCTTCTCAAAACTGGGACTTATCATAACTTCATAGAACCATGTAGTGTGAAATAAAGTAGTCCAAACTGTTCAACCCATTTCTCTATAACATGAGGTTAATTTATTGCTGTTCAGTAATGTAGAGTCTTAAATAGAATGTTTGTTGTAATGTGTTTCACAACAAACTTTGATAATAAAGAAGAACTGAGGTAGTGACTTTAGACAATTTCTGTGAATTGTTAAAAATCCACTTCTTCAATATTTTCACTGGATTTTTATACATTTAATTGAGCACACTAATACTGCTTTCAGGTTGCATTAGGCTTTTTATGTATAGTAATGAGGAGATTAGTTTGTTTACAAACAACATCTGCTGCATTTTAAAATACGTGGATTTGTTTATTGCCATTGCTAATAGGCTGACAGAAAAAGGATCTTGCTCCTTGAAGTGAGATTTTAATAAATGCTTTCTGTGACTTGTCAGTTCTCTTGTTGTACCTGAGTTTGGTTCTTTTTTCCTTTGTGCGAAGCTAAAAATGTACTTGCAATATTAAACTGCTTCACCTTGCATTGGGAACAAGTGTCCTGGAGTTCAGTACATTTCCCAAATCAGAGAAATAACAGCACAGTTCTAAAATACTGTATGCAGAATGCCAGAAGCCTGGCTTCATAGTAGTTCTACCAGCCACTTAATGGTGAGGTATTACGCAAGACTGTTTTTGAGGTTAGCCACAAATGACAGTCGTGGATCTAACAATTGAAGAAAGAGACCAGAGGGTAATAGTTACAATATTAATTCTTATAAAATTAAATAAGAGCAATTATGTGAGTGTATGTATATGCACAGGGAGATCACAGAAAATAAGCCTGCAGAAATAGAAAATTGGTGAGAGTCCGAAGTAGTTTTCTGGAAATAAAGATGACCGTACTCTGAAAACTG